AGATTAATAAACCAAACTACATAAAAGTAAGAATGTTTGCTCACCGAAAGATAACACTGAGAGTAAAGAGGCAAGCCATAGAGGTAGAGAAGGTATTTGCGGTATCTAGAGCACACACATGATTCACATCCACACTATATAAAGAATATCTACAGGACAATTGTATTTTTTTTACAGATTTATTTATTGATTTGAGAGAGAGTGTATGGGCATGCAAGAGAGAGGGCGCGCATGCACAGAGGGAGAGGGAGAAGCAGACTCCCGGCTGAGCAGAGAGCACGTGGCTGGATCCCAAGACCCTGAGATCATGACCTAAGCCAAAGGCAGACGCTTAACTGACTGAGCCACTAAGGCACCCCTACAAGACAATTTTAAAAGGCACTGAAAAATGAGCAAAGGCTGTGAACAGGCAGTTAAGAAAACAGCATATCCAAAGGGCCAAAAATATATAGAAAAGGTGCTCAATCTCACAAGCTATCAGAGAAATGCAAATGAAAATCACAATGAGATCTTTATTACCTACTCACCAGGGTTAAAAAGACAGTACCCAGTGTTGGTGAGGCTGTGGAGTTCCGGCTGGAACTCCCATCTATTTCTGGGAATATCAGTTGGTACAACCAGTTTAGAAAACCAGTAGGCAGTAGCTACTACAGCCAAACATCCATCCCGAGCTCCTGCAATTCCACTCTTACATATTCTACTTATATACCAGACAGCTGTGGATACATTAGCTCGTCAAAACACGTGTTTTAAAAAAATGTTTGTGGCAATAGCCCTAAACTGGAAACAACCCAAAGGTCTATCATCAGGAGAGCGGATCAACGGATTGCGGAGTATGCACACAATGGATTGTGGAATTTCATTCAGCAACGAGAATGAACAATCTGCTGTATATGCAACAACATCGAGGATTCTTATGAACGTAATGCTGAGTGAACAGTGCTAGACCCAAGAAGCATTTACTATGTGACTCCACTTACATAAAGTCCAAAAGCAGGACAATCCTACTGACGGGGGTCGGAGTCAGAATAGTGGTTACCTCTGCGTAGGGAGAGGGTGACTGGTAAAGGGCCTGGGGAGGATGTTTCAGGATCCAGTAATGTTTTATTTCTCCATCTGGGAGATGGTTACCGGAGTTGTTCACTTTATGAAAATTAGCCAAACTGTACATTTATGGTGCCTGCACTTTTCTGTAGGAATGTTAAAGTTCACTACAAAACTTGCTTTAAAACTCAGTAACTAAATACAATCAACAGCAACGAAAAAGCCAACGACATTAAAATGTCTAAGGATGAATGGCTTGGGGTCGAGGCTCATGAAGTAATTCCTAAGTCTCAGGTTTTAGTGACTGAAAAGCTGGACTTACTTCAAGTTTATGACCATAAATCTCAGAAGGCTCTCAACACAGCCAGGTAATCCTGCTACACTTCCTTACTGCATCCATGCTCCCTCCCTGAGACAACATTAACACCCAGCCTTCTCTCCTCACATTACCAGCACCCTCTCAGCGGAGGACCTCACTATGCCGTGCGCTGTGAAAAATCGACGGACTCATATAGGAGCACCCCGTCTGTCCCCCCAGCAGCTCAGCAGCCCGCCAGCCATCTCCATCTGTATGTCTCACATCTCCTGTCTGGGCCTCTCTCTTGAGCTCGGGACTCACACATCTAATGGTCTAAGACACATCAGGCATCTCAAGTTAACACGGCAAAAAATAAAAAACGATTGATGCCCTACCACACACACATAATAAAATAGCCACTCTTCCTAGCTAACCTTACCCATTTCTGGAAACACTACCACCTCCTACAAGCTGTTTAAGACAAAAAAAAAAAAAAACTAGAAGTCATCCATAATCATTTTTTTCCACTCATACCTTATACCCAATCCAATCAATAAATCTTGTCAATTCTATTTCCAAAATGAATTCAGAATCCTGCCACTTTTCACCATCCCTATAGATACCTCCCTAGTCCTGACCACCATCACCAACTGGTCTACCAGCCTCCAAATTTGCCTCCAGAGTGATTTCACTAAAGTGTAGGTCAGATCATGTCACCCCTGCAACAACCACCCTAGCCTGGCTCAAGGCAAGAGAAAGCAGCTGTGCACAGATGAAGCAGCACACAGGCTACAGAGGGACAATGATCAGGGTGGGAAGGCTATCCAGGGGGTATGGAGGTGCCCAGCCACCTTCAAATGAGAGGAAGAGGGAGCATGAGCTACTTTTCGGCTTCCTGTCCCTTTGAAACTGGCCTAGGCCCTGAGCAGCGCTGAAGGGAGATGCAGGATGTAGTAGATGCCACTGGCACCCCACCCGGAGCCCCTCTGCCCCCCACCTCAGACATTCCTGTCTCAACACAGGCTTGCAACTCTCTACCTGGCCCAGGAGCATGCTGAACCCACACATGGGGCAGGCCCCAGGAGCCTTGGAGTTCATGCTCCAAATGCTACTTTCCAGCAGTGAGGGGTAGAAGTCATTGGGTAAATACTCCAGTTTCCTCCCTCTTCAGTGGACCAAGTCTGAGGTGTGTGCTGGATTGAACCTCCCTCCGGTCCCCACAGCGATAAGCAGCCCCAGCCCGCAGCATTCAGGAGCTCTCCTCCCCTCCCTGACCCACCTCCGCACTCCTCACCCCCCTGGGCTTTCTGGAACCCCCTCTCAAATAAACTACTCACACAGAAATCCCCGTCTCTGTGTGTGCATGCTAGGAAATGCAAATGAAAACACACAGGATTGTGCTCTTCTTTCCAAAAGTAATGTTTTCTGGGACATCGAATGACAACCATGTCATCTCAAGTTTATATGGACAAGAGAAGAGAAAGGTCTGGACACAAAGTGTGGGGCTACAGCTTAGAAAAAAATTCAAAAATAATAGGAGATTTTAATCCATCCCTGTGTATTAATTAGCCCTATCTTTAAACATTCTTGTATAAATACACATAAAGAGTATATAGTCCTCAAAAATCACCTTTTCTCCGTCAACCATTAGTTTGTATTTCTGTAAAAGGGCCTGAAAGAACTGTGTTAAATACCAGATACATAATAACTGCCCACTGCTGTCTCTAAAGAAAGAGGAGCGGGGCGCCTGGGTGGCTCAGGGGTTGAGCCTCTGCCTTCGGCTCAGGGTGTGATCCCGGGGTCCTGGGATCGAGTCCCACGTTGGGCTCCCTGCATGGAGCCTGCTTCTCCCCCTACCTGTGTCTCTGCCTCTCTCTCTGTCTCTCATGAATACATAAATCATAAAAAATAAATAAAAAAGAAACAGGGGAGAAGGGGGCACATTCTGCTCCAGCACTGAGTTTCACTTGTGTGAGATCTAATTTGAGGAGCGATGTCACACACACGCACACGCACGCACGCACACACACACACACACACACATGTACGAACCACTTAACAGTCTGCAAAACTTCCCTCCAGTTCTTTTGAAGTGAAATCACCACTCACCCCAACCGCACTCCCCAGATATCAGCGCTGTAGAAAGTGAAGGGCTTGTCCCTGCTGTGTGGTTTGGGGTTTAAAAAAAGGAGGCAGGATTAAAGCGCTCATTTCAAGTCCCAAAAGTAAAATACGACTTGGCCTACGGCAGTCCTAATTCTTTCCAGAACTCATCCCGGAATTGCCCTTTTAAACAACCAGTCATTAACCCAACTCTGGGTCTTTTATAGCTGCGAAAACCGATCGCGCACATCATTTATTCATTACGCTTATTATTATTGTTATTGCAGAAAAGCGGCGGATTCCCGGGGCGCGGTGCAAAGGGGTTTCTGTCGGGGGGGGGGGGTGCGCGGGAGGGGAGCGGCGGCGAGGAGGCTGGGCCGGGCCGCGGGGCAGAGGTGCCCGGAAATCCCCGAGGAAGGATGCCGCGGCCACCGCGCTCGGGCGCAGCTGCTGCGGCAACGGGGGAAGCTTCTTATGTAAGGCAGAGCCGCTGACATCACCTTCGGCGCGAGCGTCGCAGCCGGACTAGGCGCCCGGGGAGCGGCGCGCCGGCCTAGCGCCCCCGCCCATCGTCGGTTCGCTCCTAAGGATCCGGCCGCCGCCTGAGCTGCCCGACCGCGCGGCCGGGGCGCCCCGGAGCGCCCCGGGGGACCGAGGCCGCAGAAGGCCCGCTACCGGCAGTCGGAGGGCGTCGCAAGAGTGAAGTTAAAGGGCGGCAAGGACGCCCGAGGGTCTGCCACACGCGGGGAGGGGGGTCTGGGCGACCGTGCCCGGTGGGGGAGAGGGGGCGCGGGGACACGCCTCCGGGATCCTCCGCTGGTCGGCGCCCTGTGCCGGAGGGAGGGCGCAGGAAAGATGCCCGGCGCCGGGGACACTGCTCCCTCCACGCCCGTCGCCGTCGCCGCGGCCTCGCTGGGCCACCGGGTTAGAGCAGAGGCTCCGGACTTCACTGGCGAGGCGAGCGGCGCCGCGCTACGTCGCACGCTAGCGCAAGGCACAAGTTCGGGGCTCGGCGCAGACCCCGAGGGAACAGCAAGAGTGACAAGACCGCTACGGCGTTACAGACGCCCTAAAAGGGCACTCGCTACTCCTCGAGCCCCCCAGGCACGCACGGGGGGGACTGCTGCAGGGCTCGGGGCTGGGCTGCTGGAAACCACTAAAGTTGCACCAATCCCCGCCCCCTCCCCCCCCCCCCCGTCCCCGACCCGGGGACAGTCGGGGAAGGCGAGTCCCGGGAATGAATGACAGATCGGTCTGCCTCCGGTGTCCCCAACGCTCTCCCTGTGTGCCCGCGGCGGCCGACGAGCTCCCAGGCCGCCCCTTTAACTTTCTCCCCCATCGCGACTGCATCCCTGCCTCCAGCCCAGCGGGAACTCCCGGCACCAGGCGGACTGGGGTGGGTCCCGGGGGAGGGGAGGGGCGGGGTGGGGAGGCGAGAGGAAGGTGCAAGCTGCGGCGGGCGCAGCGCCGCGGGGCTGGGATTGCGGCGACCGGGGAGGGCGTGAGGGTGCGGCGGCCCAGGGAGCGCCCGGCGGGCGGACGGCGCGGTACTCACGCACTGCCTCCTGCTTGGGGTCCAGCGTGCCGAGGACGCGCTGCACGCCGCCGAGCTTGCCCTGCAGCGCCCAGACGCGGCGGTGGGTCAGCTGGATGTCGCTCTCGAGCTCCTGGAAGAGGCTGCACGCGTGCCGGGCCACGTCCGAGAGCTGCCGGAGGACGCGGGCCAGCGCGGCGTTGCTGACCGCGCACAGGTCCAGCATGAGCAGCACGGCCGCCGCCGCCGCCGCCGAGGACGCCTCGCCGGCCGCGGACGCCGCCTCGGCGACCCCCGCCGCGCTCTCCTCGCCCGCCGCTGGCGCCTCTCCGTGCGGCGGCTGCGCCTGGTCGGTCGGCGCGGGCAGCGGCGGCGGCGGCGGCCCGGGAGGCGCGGGGGGCGCGCGGGGAGGATCCTCCGGGCCCGGCGCCACGGCCTCGTCCCGTCGGCCGGGCGGCTGCAGGGGCGGCGGCGGGTCAGCGCTGCCTCCGTTCGCGTCCTCCGCCGGGCCGGGCGCCGGGCGCCGCTGCCGGCACAGCCACTGCGGCTCCACGATCCTCTTGGCGAAAGGCATCCCGCGAAGCCGGGCCGCGACTTTCTGGTCTCCTCGAGGCGCCCCTTGCGAGCGGGGAACCCGGGAACCCGGCGCGCCCACCTAGGCGCAGAGGGAGCGGGAGTCGGGCAGAAGCGCGACCCGGCGGTCCGGATGCGCGGGGGCTCCTCGCTCACCTGGTCTCCTCCTCCTCCCCGCCCCTCTAGCAAATCAGTCCACCTGGTCCTCCTCCGGGCGCACCGTTGCCTGGGTAGGATGACAAGAGCGGGGCACAGAAATCCCGGGGTGCGCCGGGGCTCTCCTCACTTGCTTCCCAGCCGGGTCGGCTGGCTCAGCTCCATCATTCCTGCCTCGCCGCCGCCGCCGCCGCCGCCGCCCCGGCCGCTGCCGCCGCCGCCGCCTATATAAATGGGCGTGTATGTGTGTGTGTGTGCGTGCGTGCGTGTGTGTCTGGGGGCTGTGTGTGTGTGTCTCGGTGTGAGTGTGTGCGCGCGCCTCAGTTTGAAAGTACCCCGGCGCAGGCCTCTCCCCGCGCGCCCCTCGGCCGCTCCGGGGAGCGACTGCGCCCGGGATCTCACTCCCTCTCTGGGCGGGGAGGACGCTTCGGAAAGGCGCTTTGAAAACCCGGAGCGAGGAATCCGCCTCCAGCCCGAGCGCAGGAGGCGGCGCGGGGGCGGCGGGGCGGACGCAGGGCGGAGGGAGGCCGGGGCGAGGGGGCGCAGCGCCCTGTGCGGCCGCTGGGAGTCACTGGTGGCCTCGCCGCGCCCCGCGCGCTCCGACGCAAAGACACTTAGGCGCAGCCAAGGGCTCAGCATTGGGACGCTCAGGGGGGCGGGGGCCGGGAGTCCCCAATTTGGGGTTGGGGGCGTGGGGAGCGAGCGCAGAGGCAGGAGGGTGGGGAATTGGGGATGCGGCCGAGTTGGCGTGTCGGAGCAAGTTGCTTCGCCGAATTCCAGCTCTGAACAAGTCCTCTGGGTTCTGAGCAGGAAAAATCGAGCTGCCCCTCGGAGAGCCCGGGGCTCTGTGAGCTTAGTGAGACAGCTGGGGTGCGAGGTGATGAGGCTGGGGCGCTTCCCAGAGTGGCCAGGGACCTGTTTGTACCGCTTCCCGGGCAACTCTGGGCCGCCTGCGCTGGGCCAGGTCTCTAAAGAATATCATGAATGGGGCCCAAACTACCAATGAGCGAAAGTCCCAGAAAACTGCTTGCAAAACTCATTGGCACGTTAGGTGAGATAAGCCGGATCACCACCTGCGTGTTACCCTACTGTGCGGATCGCACTCAGGGATTTTAGAGTCTCTACCGGAGAGATGGTGATTCACAGAAGAAAGTTTTCCCCTTCACTTAACCGAAAGGTATAATTTCTAAAAATGCATGTATTTCGATTGCCGCAGTCTACAGGCTGGATGCTGTCAGCCTAAAACCTAAAAAAAGAGTTTGGGAAATGTTAATAAAACACATGCTTTCATCCCTCCAAAAAGAATACTGTAAAAATATTTTTTTATTTTAAAGCCACAAGCCAGATCTTGGGAATGCAGCCTTCATTTCATGTGTCTAAAGAGAACATGGAAAAAATATGTTTTATGGCAACAATAAAGTCCTCCAGCCCTGTGGTGGTGCCTCCTTTCCTCTCTCCCTGCCTTTAGTGGGAGCCTACACAGGGCCCCCACAGTCAGCACTTTGGACTGGCCCACCCTTTAGTTATGAAGGCTTCAACAGACCCTTCCTTCTCTTGTTCTACCAAAAACAAATAACATTTTGGCAAACGAATGTCCTTGTTTCATAAAAGATCCAGGCTGGGAATTTAAGGGTAAAGGGTCACGACGTCCGCAAGGTACACGTGAACGGTTCAGTAACAACAACAACAACAACAAGAATGATGATGATAGTAAGGTCTATGTCTAAAGACAGAGAAAAAAAAGAGAACATGGTAAAAATGTGCGAAATAATGAGTCTAGGTAAAGGGCATATTGGGAGTCATCGTACATTTCTTGCAACTTTAAATTCGGTTTTGTTTCCAAACATAAAAAAAATGGGAAAAAAAAGAAAATATTTTGGAGAAAGGTCTTTTAGGAGTTGGTTTTTTTTTTATCTCACAAATCTAAAAAGCTTAGAGCTGGTTGTTTTTCAAATTTAGCTTGACTTTTTAATATGTTCAAAATTCTGAACATGAGTTCTGCTAGGTGGCCAAGCCACACACACTCCTCCCTAAACATATTGAGGCATAGAGAACAATGAGGGGTTTTAAAGGCATCCAGTTAGCAAGCCTGTGGCAAGTCTGCCCTGCCTGTCACTCCCCCTCACCCAGCACTGTCCTATTAATAGCACTCAGGGGGCCAGTGGAGTGAGCCCAGCTGAGTCCTCACATGGGTGTTGAGCAGCGGGTCGGGCTGTCACTCCTCAGGGAGGCTTGGGATCATCTGTGAGTTCCTTCCTGGGCCCCAGGGCCCCAGGGCCCCGAGCACACAACGCCAGGCTTGGTTGAAGGAGAGGGCAAGACAGTGGCAGGACGGGGGAGGATTCCAGGGGATAATTAAGTTCAAGAACCGGCTAGGGACGTTGGTGTCTGCCTGGAAGTGGTCCGCATAGACTGAAGTCAAGATTTCAAAATGATTCAAAGCACCGTTCAACTATGCAAAAAGGAAAGCTCTCTTTGTAATCTCCTGGACTCCTAGCCATGTGCTAATAAAGCCATTTGGTTCAAAATTAAAAGCTTTGATTTTTTGGCTTCCGAGCTCCTTCGTTCTCAGTCCACTGTAAGGGATGAATAAAGGCACTCTCGGAAAGGTGATTGTTCTACATCTACCTAAATAAAAACTATGTGTTAGCTATGGAAGGACAGCTTTTAGATGACCTCCTGGCCTCACTGTACCCCTTCCCATTCTAAGCCCCTCCTATGTGGCCTCCCCCTGCCACACACACACACACACACACACACACACACACACACACACATTCTTCAAGCTTGGCTCCTAATGTATGTATAGGACTGAAATACTGAAATCAATAAAAGTGTAGCAACCACATGTAATGTGTAATCTCATCTCATGATGAGATGTATGAATATTCTTAATGCTGATGAGTTTTCCACACATCCAGGAGTCCTGCCTTCCTGACTCAAATCCCCGATCGCACCATTTTACTGACTTTTCCCCCAAAACCCTGATGAACTCAAAGTGAATGTCTGAAGCCAGACTGCTATACCCATTTATGGGTGTGTTCCTGTCTCCTGATCACGCCCCCACCCCCAGCCCATGTGCACATCTTTACTACCATGAGCTTGTGGCCAAAATGGGAAGGAAAGGCAGCATTTAAAAAAGACCCCTTGGCCTAATCCCCAGCAGCCAAACCCATGCAGCTCAAAGGCCAACACAATTTCCCTGAAGACGCTAATGTTCAGTCAGTATAAACCTAAGGCAAATGTAAAATGAATGAAATACCCCATCTATGTCACCACGTCCCACAGTTCCGCTCCTGCCTGCTGCAGCCCAGTGGGAACTAGTGCCAATAAGTCCAGTTCCTCTAGAGCCTCCCAAGCAACAAAACAGATTCCTGAAAGATTCTTCACCAAATATGTCTATTCTGCTTCAAATATCCCAGCACTGATGCTGCACCATCATTATTTATACTTGAGAAATATTTCTTTTGTCTAAGAAATTCCAGGAGACACATGGGCTTGTTAGCATAATCATGTAATTATAGGGACTGGAGTCTCCCTTCCTCCACCCAATTGCACCTCTTCCTCACCTAATCGCCTTAATTCACTCCTAAAAGCCCTGCCACTAAGTAAAAAGCTGTTAAATAAAAAAAGTATTTTCCTTAATTTTATTGAGGAAAATTATGAGCATTCCTTCCCAACCCACTTTACCCAAACCACTTCAGAGATAGCAAAATAGATCAAGTTGACATGAGTAAAAAGCAACAACTTGAAAATAAATGAATACGGTATGTCCATAAAATGTAACGTTAAAATATCTTGCAATGGAGGTGCATTGTACTTGCGCCTCCGAGGGAGGAAGAGCAGATTCGAGAGTGCCTAGCGATGGCTGAGGCAGGAGTGAGAGGCTGCCACCTTTGGGAAACTCCTGGAGAGTTCTATGGTTCACATTCAAGCAGGAAACTTTCTGGAGCTCCTGGTTCCCCTATACTTGAACTGCCCCCGCAGATGAAGTTGTAGCACAGAAAAACAACTTTAGGGCAAGATAAAAGGGAAGGATGGGCCAGCCATGGAACACATGGGACACATAGGAAGAAGGCACAGGCACATTCAACAGAAGGACTGCAGAAGATGTCACTGGCCCCTCTCTCTCCAGCCAGGAGGCCACCACTTCATGCTCCCCAGGAGGTTCTCTCAAGTTTTATGTTAGCCCCTGAGCTCTGACACTCACCAGCTCCCTCTCCCCTTTGGCTCTGCAGGTTCCCAGGAGGAAGCCAGCAGCCCATGGGTGGGTGCCCTCTTGTTGGAGGGAGCACGCATTCTCCCAAAGCTAAGGGTCACAGTACATTGTGTCTCAGCCTCCAGGGCTTCGTTTCTGGAACTCAAAAGTCCAAGCTCTTCTGGTTCAAGAACCTGACATTTGGCTTTGTGTGTCTATGTTCCCAGGACACACCAGTGGGAAAAATTCATTAATATATCAAAATACGGGGGATCCCTGGGTGGCTCAGCAGTTTAGCGCCGCCTTCAGCCCAGGGCCTGATCCTGGAGTCCCGGGATCGAGTCCCACGTCGGGCTCCCTGCATGGAGCCTGCTTCTCCCTCCTCCCGTGTCTCTGCCTCTCTCTCTCTCTCTCTGTCTATAATAAATAAATAAATAAATAAATAAATAAATAAATAAATAAATAAATAAATAAATAAATAAATAAATCTTTAAAAAATGTATGAAGCCACCATACACATGTATGCACAGGTGCATACATATTGGCAACTATCGTGTGTACAGTTCTCAGGGGAAGAAAAGACTATGTCCCACTCCCGAAGGTTTTCCTTGGTTTTAGTTGGTGCTTTTCTTCCTCAAAAATCCTCATTGAGTCTATCAAGTATGAAGGGCAAGGGCTTCTCCCTGCATTTTACTGACAGAGAAACACGGGCAGAAAAAAAAAATAATGCTATTAAATGTTTTCCAAAATGCCAAAGACAGTGAATCTGAAGACTGTTCTAACCAGCTTTTTTATCTTCCCTGCAAAGAACTGTTGATTACTCACATTGTTTCCAATGGGAGAAATTTTGACTTCTTTCTTATCTTCAGAACTCCGAGCCTCACATTTTACAACTGAATATAATTTTAAACATGCCAAATCTGGATCTCGTCAGAACTGCAAATACATCAAAATAACGGACAGAGTTAAAGCAGATGGTGATAGCAAACAGGAAAGTTTCATTCACTGATTCGTTCTTCTGGTTATGCAACAAACATTTACTGGAAGCTTTATTTACTGAGTGCAAACATCTATTGGGTGCTCGGGCCTCTGTTGGCTGCCAGGGATATAAAACGAAAGAAGACATAAACTCCGCTCTCAAAGGGTGGAGTCTAGTAGGGTAAATAGACATGTAAACAAATCAAGGTAATACATCACCAGCAAGCTATAATAGAGATAAGAATTAAGTGCAATTCAGAATCCCAGAGTG